TTCTGTTTACCCAGACTAGATTTGAAGAAGCCACTAACACAAATATATCAAAAAACAAAACAAAACAATCTCCAGTGACAGTCTATTCATTCGGGCCAAAAGATTAGAAGAAGAAGGGAGAGCCAGCACTCCATAAAACTTCTAAACAATTTTTTCTGCTCTTGCCAGACCAGAAATGATACAGCAAAACACTGATAAATATCTCTAATAAGAGGAATGCAAAATCCCCAACAACAACAACAACAAAAAACTTTACAAATTGAATCTCATAGCACAGTTAAATATTTATTCATTATGACCAAATGGGATTTATATTTAAATTTTCCATACACAAAATAAATGTAGCTACCATATAAGCAGAAATGAACATAAAAATTTGTATTATTTTAAATAGGCATAGAAAAAGCTTAAGATGAATTCCCTTCATGAATAAAGTTCTGAATGAATTAGCCATGAAAGGATTTAATCTCAATACACTAAAGCTTATGATAAACATAATCAAAATACATACCTCCAGCATCACGCCGAATGGGGAAATTGTTTCCTCTACCATTCGGGATAAGACAAGGATGTCAACTCTTAGCTCACTTATTCCACATCGTAGAAAAATCTTTGTCAGAGAAGTTAGGAAAGAAGAAGAAATGAAGGTTTTATATTAATCAATAGAAATGATGGCTGGAGTGATAGGTCAGCAGTTAAGAGCACTTGCTGCTCTTTGGGTTTCAATTCCCATTACCCACATGGAGGCTAACAACTATTCATCATAATTCCCCCGGGGATCCAATGCCCTCTTCCGGACTCCATGAGCACTATGCTCACATGGTGCGCTTACTTTCAGGCAAACATTCATATATACACATAAAAGAAATAAATCTTTACAAATTAAATACATTGAAACAACAAAAAAATGGAACTACACCCACTCACATATATTCATGGGTTGGATCATACGATTTTATTAAAATGTCTGTACTACCTAAACAATTTACAAATTCAATGTATTGTCCATCAAAGTTGCAATGATATTCTTCACAGAATGGCAGACAGGGAGACCTAAAATAGACATAGGAGAACAAAGACACCAAAAAAAAAAAAAAAAAAAAAAAAAAAAAAAAAAAAAAAAAAAAAAAAAGCCAGAGAAAATGAAGAAACAGAACTAGAGATATCACAATACATGATTTCAAAACATGTCACAGAGAAATATAACCAAAGCAGTATGGTATTGTTTTCAGAAGAACACTCAGATCATTGAAACAGCATAGAGACAAAAATAAAATAAACCCACCTAATCCACAGCCAATTGACTCATCAGAAGTAAGCAAAACTAAAATCACAGGAAAGATGATATCTACAGTAAACTGTGCTGGGAAAATTATTCATGGGCAGATATTAATATCTGATCACATACCTCTCATCCTGTACTGTAAGAACCTGCAATGGATAAAAGGCCTACACAGAACACCCAAAACTCTGAAACTACTAGAAGGAAATATACATAAAATGCTTAAGACACTGGAATATATATATTATATATATATAATTCCAATGGCACAGGAAACACAGCTAGAAGCAGCTAAGTGGGATTACATCAAACTCAAAATCTGCACAGTGTGGGGAACAAGCAGCAGGACAAAGAAACAATTTGCAGCATGAAAGGCAATACTTGGTTACCACCTGCCAAACTGAGACTGATGTTAACTTAATAAAGAGGACTCAAAATTAACCAAAACATCAAGCAGCCTAATTAAAATGAGCAAATGATCCAAATAGCTTTTTCTGAAGAGAAATAAGGCAAATGGCCCACAGATAGGTAACAATGTTCGGCCACAGGGAAATGAAAACCAAGACATAATGAAATGTCATTGCCCCATTCAGAATAGTTATTACTAAATTAACAAGAGCTGGAGAATGTGGAGAAAGGAGCTTTATGGAGATGTCAATTAGTAAACCTTCATGAACAGCAGAATGCTTACTCTTCATTGAGCCGGAAAACCATGAAGGTTCCTAACAAACGTAAAATTAGGCCCACTGTGTTATCTGTCTCACTGTGTATATCTGAAGGGAAGGAAGTCACCATCCTTACGACATCCATGCATTTTCATGTTTATTACAGCAGTATTCAGGACAGCTAAGTTATAATTGTACAGTAGCTTGCTACGTCCATCATTGACACAACTCCCTTTCCTATGGATTCTCAGATGTTTGGACAAGTTCAGCTTGGAAATATTCACTGGATAATATTCACAGTATCCTGATGTATAAACCAAGGCAACACATCCATCTTTATCCTATCACCAGTCAAGAGCGAATAAATTCCTGGGTAGTACATTACTTCCCACCTTAAACTTGTCAGCCATCCCACTAACTCCTGCCTTCTCGGTATTGGCATAGGCTACATCCTAGAGACAATTGAAGCCATTATGAAAAATGTCTACAATCAAATATCTGCTATCCTCTGGTTTTGATACTAAGCACTTTCCCCACCTTAATGACTTAAGAGACATATAGTTAACAGTTCGTAAAAACTGGAGCAAATCTCTTAACTTCTTCGAGTAATAGATTCAATGAGAATGATAGCATGAATTTTCATTTCATAGCTATTGCTATAATGAAAAACCTTTAAAAAGATATGAAAGTCGTTAAATATAGAAGGAATCATTGTAATTTTATGAACATACAAATTCTGCTTCCATTTCTAGTTAGACAATGTTTAGACACCAACACAAAACCACCCAAAATACTTTATTATGAAATATCTGAAAAATGTTGCAATCTTTATGAGAACAAAATTCTCTGTAATCAGGATGTTAGTTAAAATTCCTTAATTTTATGGTCATAAGTTAATGTCTATGTTTAGTTGATTCTTGAAAATCATATTCAACAAAAGTTTATGCATAGGCCATTTCTCACTATCCTCCAGATGCATTTAGTAAACAACTTCTTCACTGTTATTATTACAATTTTAATTTATAGACTGATATTAAGCTGTTTAGTAAATATGTACACAGTCTCCAAGTTTTCTTTTTCTGAAGACTTTACATGGAGTATTTGTTCACCGAATGTTGTTGAACATTGATCATCAAAATGTGTGCATCTAAAGGTCATTCCAGGAGATGCATCTCTTGTCTTTGGTGGGTTGACAGACTGCAACTCTTTATTAATCCACAGGACGGGAAGTTGCCAGCCATAAAACCCACGCAGGGTTCAAGCTGAGTGCTGGAACTCATTCCAGACCTTTGTGTCCCTTACTGATTCAGCCAATCAGTCCCCAAGTCTGACAGTTTTATGAGCTAAATGTTTCTCAGACTTACATCTTTGTTTTCTTTTTATTTTTTGATGTATCTTTGTTACTGTTGTGTTTCTTTTTAACTTTTGAAATTAAAATATAATTACATCATTTTCTCTTTTCCCTTCCCTTCATCCAACCCCTCCATTAACCCCATTGCTTGCTCTCTCAGGTTCATTGATACTAAAACATTTGAGAATAACCTGCAAGACAGGAAAAAAGTGAAGTATTAAGACAGCCCAGGAACTTTTCAGCATTTTATGATAAAAGACCAATTGGTATACATTATTACTATTTTAATGACAATTGGCAAAGACTAAAAGTGGGGTGCCTATCTCCTAGACGACTAATAAAAAATACGTGATTTCACAGAGTCAGTTCAAGAGAAGGATGAAGATGAACAAAGACAGACAGATCCAAATACGACAACACAAAGTCTGGTCAGTGGTTACAAGTCATAGCTTTGCAGACTGGGGAAATCTTCTAAAAGGAAGTTTAGCATGGGAGCCAGGTGCTTAAAAGCCACAGAATCATTGTGAAACAGTAACTTCTAATTTCAACTGGGTATAGCTATTTTTAGAAATTAATTCTAGGAATCAACACAATGCACATAGCTACACATAACCATGGTACACACGGAAATATTAAAGGTCCTTAAAGTATCATCTTACTGTTCAACATCATGAAGATTTTTAGATTATAATGCTACACAAAAATATCAAATGCTTTCAAACCTTTATGCCATGGGATTGACGTTCTTTTCCTAGTCCCTTCTTTATATCACTACATAAGAGACAAATGAAAATGAACTGTGCAGATGTCAAGAGAGCTCATCTCCTGCTGTTGGGCCATCAGGTGATTAATTACTTATCCTCTATGCTTCTGTTTAAGAAGTGAAAAAACAACATTTGGGTAATCAGGAAGACATACTTGGCTGAAATAGAGCTCATTGTTTATTTCAAGTAGATTCATATGCATACAGTTGGGTTGAAGCTAACAACGTTCAGGCTATTCACAAATGTAGACTTCTTTGCATTCTGTATGTGTGCACAGCTGCCTATGTGTTTGTGTAACTCATATGAACTTTGAAAGAAACTTCACAGTTGATATTACCATAATCTCCATTTACATTTAAAAACAGAGAGGTTTATATTAGTCAAGTTTGCAAAAATTTGTTTGGTGTTATGTTCTTAAAATGATGTCTAAGTGTCTCCCTTAGGCTGGGGAGATGTCTAAGTTGTTAAGAGCATTAGCTGCTCTTCCAGAGGACCTAAGTTCACACAGTGCAACTGACATCTGTAACTCCTGTTCCAGGTGATCCAACACCCTCTTTGGCCTCAAAAGGCACCACACATGAGTGTGGTGCACAGGCATTCAATTCATGCAGGCAAAGTCCCCATATACATAAAAGAACAGAAAAAGATGGCATGCTTTCTGGGCCAGTCTCTTAAAGTATAAGCACAATAGTGACCTCTTAATACATTTGCAAATGTATGTGTATGTGTTTGGACCCATGAGTCTCAGTCTTCACATTCCCTTCAGGGTGGAACCCAAGGCACACAGCTGCCCAGCTGTGCGCCCTTAATGAGCCTTCCCACAGATGTAAACATTGTTCTCAGGGGAGGAACATTCTCAGATTTTGATGCTGCCGTTCATTGGGCAGTCCATAGCACAGTTAGGAAATATCCCTTACCTCACAAGTGAAATTCGAGACTTTATGTTCCTTCTTAATTTCTAAAGAGAACTAGAGGGAGATAAAACTGGCCACTGGAGAGACCATAACTCTATGCTGCCTGGGACCTCTCAGCTACCCACAGAGGCCAACATGTCTTGGGTCCTGCTTTCTGTCCTGTGGTTCATCATTCAAAGCCAAGGTAGGTACAGTCATCTTATACAAAAATCAAAAACCAAACAACAAAAAAAAAACCAGATTATTTGATGAGTGTACCCATGAGAAAATGGCCTTTTCACTCACAATGTAAAGGGCAGTACAGTTTACACAGTATATTTTCTGTGTGTTTCTCTACTGAACTATAACTTGCATACATGCATATTAGTTTATAGATACACATGTATGTGTAATGCTATTTTTAGGTCACATGTGAAAAATGTACTCTAAAGCCCACTATAGTGTTTTTCAATTTCATATACTTCCCTAAATAAAAATCATGTTTGTATACAATGTGATTTTTTTCAAAATAGATTAAACAAGTGTTGATTATTGCTGTATTTAGGATATACTGGTAAATAAAATTGTATTGATGTAGTCATTAAACAATGCTATGTATGAGTTGGGTTTCAGGATATTTCCCTAAGAAAGATTCTCAGTTGTAGAAGATAGTCAAAAGGAAAGTCCTAGAAAGGTAACTGTTCCTCCCTTTAAGCCGATTATTGAGAGGTGAACCAACAACTTGAGAGCTTTTATCTGCTCCCTTACTGCACCATGGATAGATAAGCTAAGGGCATCGACGTCATCTCTGGTTAATCTTGCTAGAGGTGTCATCATAATCATGTTAAAAAGTCAAATGTTGAGATCCTGCACATTTCTACCTACAAGCGTGCACAACAGTAAGTCTCCTGTTGAACTAGCCAAAGAATATAGCTGGTAGTCATTACTTGTTCAATAATACTATATAAATGTTCCTCTCTAGGGCTGGGTTTAGATCCTTATGTCTCATACACTTTTTACATTGTAATCCCTAGTGAGGATCTAAGAATGGTAAAGTAGAATAATGCTGATAATAATTGCACAGATATTCAGACATAATGATGAAACCCTTTCAAGTCCAGTTAGTCGGTCCTTGTGAATGCTGCAGTCATATATATGGCTGTGATTTGCAAGATAATTTAATTATTATCTTTCACCCTAATGCATTCTGATTGACATAGTAAGTAAGAATCTGTCTTGAAGCTGCGGAAACACAGCTTTCTACAGTAAGATTGACCCTGTGTGAAAAATTGCAAAACTTGGAAAAACAGAAAGGAAGTGTTTCTGTTTTCCTATAATGCTGAACAGAGTTTCACAGCTTATGTATGCTAATCTAGAAAGACAAAAAAAAAATAATAGGGAGGCAAAGTGGCTTTCACTGGGCCTTTCAGCTAGAACTACAAGCCACCTCTTTTTGACTCTGAGTCAGTTCTTTCCTTACCATTTGTAAATAAGAGAAATGTCTCTCTGGTACAATTTAAATACACCAAGAAAATACCTTTACCTGTAAACACTTTCCCCATGTGTTCTCTGTTCCTTTAAAATTTTTCTGGAAAAGGTCAATAAGAGGTTTACATCCAAAGGAATCTACAGTTTCGAGGGTAAAACTATAAAGAAATGACATCTTGGTGTATTATCAATAGAGTTGTGAAATCACTGGGTTTAGGGTATTTCCATATTGTGGAGTGGGTGGTGAGCGAAATTGCACTTTGAAGAGTATTGCAAAGGAATGAACCTAGTTATTACAGGTACAGTCCTGGCTTTCCTCAGTGTTCCTGATCCACGATGAAGTGCTTCTCTATGAGGAGAAACCCGGTTTTCTGTGTCTTTCTAGAAGTTAGGGAGACAAGAAAAAATATTTTGTCATTAAAGTTGAAGCCAGCTGCGTGATTTGTTCTGAACAGTTAATTCATGTCCACACAATATAGCAAACAGCCAACCAAACCTGGAAAAAAAAAGTCAGTCTTTCTTATCAATGTTTTCTGGCTTCCTCTAAGTGATCGATACAACGTCAACCCCCAAGTTAAAGCTCCATGAAATAGTTCAACCTAAAAAACTACCTATTGCACATACAAGAGGAATTGAGAGCAACGAGACAAAGAAGAGTGAAGAGGTAAGTTATGTGTCATGATTATCTGAAGACAAAAGCGAAGAGCTTCCAGGAGTAGTGTGACATCACCGTCAATGTCCAGCGGCTTCATCTTGCAGTTCAGCTATCAGCTCTGTGTTTGCAGATTTGTGGATGCGGTGCTGATGGGGCACACGGAAGGATTATTGGGGTGTGAAGTTTATTAAAAAGGTTATAAAACACACAAACAGATATGCAAACAACAGCATGGCTAGGTGTCCAAGAGTCTGTGCCCCAGCACCATAGACAGACAGCATGGGAGGTTGCTGAAATGGACACAGGATCAAGAGGAAAGTTTGGACGTCCACTCCAAAGTTGGCTTTCATGGCAGGAGCCTACAGCCAGGCTCTTTGATTCCCAGAGAGCAGAGAAATAGGCTGGGAAAAAGGGTGCCTTGCCATTGCTAGCCCTAATGCTTCCCAGGACATAAACTTACTCCTTTAGGTGGGAAATATGGACATCTAGAAGTCTGTTGTTAGAACATCACAGAGAATGCTCTCAAGAGGAGGCTTATCAGTCTCTGTGAGAGGGAGCCTGAGCATCAGTCTGGTCTGGACACTGGGGAGGAGAAAGAAAATGACTTCTCAGAACTTGGTTATAATTTAACATCAGAGGACCAGCTGCCTTGCTTGATAAAAAAAGGTCAAGCTCTTTTGATGTGTCCTCAAATCCATTGGAAGAGAAGAGGGGATCACAAACAAGGCAGTAGTTCTTGAAGGAAGCCTTTTCACATTCCTGTCTTCTCTTCAACTACCCCTTTCCCTGTCTTCCCATTTTTTCACAATGTAGAAAGGTATTCTACCATTTTGGCAATATTCTCTCTTTCTATAATTTTTATCACTTGATTCATAGTAGATTTGAAAAACCATTTAAAATATATTTCAACCTGTTGTGAAGTAAAATAGATACTATCTTGTTCTGTTGATAGTTTATTATGGTACAAAGGACAATGTATTATACTTTAAAGCAGACGGCAAGTCTCAGGGTCACAAATTAGAGCCTCATTAATCATTGTGGTTGGCAACTGATGATATTTTAGAAAGTCCATATTAATATGAAAATTACATTTATTTTAGATATAAGAAATAGATAAGATGTAAGAGAAATACTTTCAACTTCTGTGTTCCTGCTATTACAATGCATAGTGTACATAATTGTTGTGCTAAAATGGTTATAATGTTTGACTGACTGAGAACTATGTACAATAACCACATCATTAAATATTTTCAGGAAAGATATGCACCTGAAGTTCAATATCAGATCATACTAAATGGAGAAGAAATCACCTTTCACCTAAGGAGAACCAAGTAAGGACAATTTCTTCCTGAAAGCCTGCCCACTGGTTGTATCAGCAGAATATTGGGAAACTTCTACCTAGCGGTAGCTTCATTACTGTAACTGTGATAAAGTGACAAAATCAGGTTGGGGAGGAATGGATTGCTTTAGCTTACAATTCAACATAGCAACTCATGCCTGCAGAAAAGTTACGGTGGTGGCAGCTTAAAGCAACTGGTCCTATTGCATCCACAGAGAAGCAGAGTTAGAAATGTAAGACTGATACTCCAACCAAGGACCATTCATGGAGGTAACCTAGAACCCCTGCACAAATGTAACCCATGGCAGCTCAGTGTCCAAGTGGGTTCCCTAGCAATGGGAACAGGTACAGTCTCTGACATGAACTCAGTCATCTGCTCTTTGATCACCTCCCCCTGAGGGGGTTGCAGCCTTACTAGGCCACAGAGGAAGACAGTGCACCCAGTCTTGATGAGACCTGATAGCCTAGTATCAGAGGGAGGACCTCCCCTATCAGGGGACTGGGGGAGGAGCATGAGAAGTGATGAGGAAGGAAGGGTGGGGTTGGGAGGGGATGAGGGAGGGAACTACAGTTGGGATACAAAGTGAATAAACTGTAATTAATAATAAACAAATAAATTTAAAATAAAAAAGAAAGAAATGCAAGCATGCTTCCTGCTCAGCTAACTTAGTCTAATCCTCTACACTCCCGAGTTCCCAAACTCGGGAATGAACGGTGTCATGTAATGGATGTTCAGGGTTGGTCTTCCCACATTAATTGAGACACCCAAGGCAGTCTCCCATAAACATGTCCTGAGGGGCTCCCATGCCAAGACAAGAGGCAGAAACAGCAGAACCTCCAGAAGCAGGCCTGTCTTACAAAGTGAGACATGAGACAAACACGAGAGAGACCCTGCCTCAAACAAGGTGGGAGGTGAGAACTCACACATGAGTTTGTACTCTGATCTCCATGTGTGAGCTGGAATATGTGCAACTGCACAAAAACACACATGTACAGAGACACCTCCCTCCCCCAGCCACACACATAGACAAGAATTTATCCCTGAGCCCGAATCAGGGTACACAGCGCAGCAATAAATTCTAAGGGAAGAGTGAAGGGGCATCACACGTCTTCTACTCTCAGTAAGCTTTCTTCATTAGTCTCTTATTCACACCAGTGACCCAGCACCCTCTAAAGACTATGTCCTTGCTCCAAAGGATCCCTTCGGGGCTCTACCTATTCATGTTTGAAGAGAAAAGAATCTGTAAGTGAAAAGTAACTGAGTGAGTTTCCCCCTTTCAGGGTTAACAGGTGTAAACTACATGCTTTGATGTATTTTAGCAGGATGTCCCAGTGCTGGTAAAAGATCAATGGTCAAAAGTCCACCAGGCCTCACCGTACACACAATTATTCCAATAGCACAAAGATGTCAGATGAATCTGTATTTGTTGGTATCATGAGTGGATTATGTCTCTTTTCACTCTGCACAGTCATCTTCTGGGACCAGACTACACTGAAACATCTTACTCATCCAGAGGAGAAGAGGTGACCAGAAGCTCTCAGGATGCGGTAGGCTCTGAACACATCCTGGGATTTTACCTTGTTAAAAAAAAAAAGGATTGAAGATAACTTTTAAATGCATCAAGTGACTTGGAAGAGACGTGGTATCCATGGCCAGTGAGACAACAGGAGGAAAATCACAGAATACTTTTCAAAGATAGGAACGAACACAAAATAACACACACACATACACACACATTGCTCATGTACCTACACATTCAATTAGACATCCCCACATACTGATACTCACAAACTCACAAAAACTTCACTTTAATACATTCAAACATACTTGTTAACAATGCACTTGTGTTCACACCACACACACACACACATGTACGGCAAATAAAATGGCAAGCAAAGCCAGCTAATTTAAGCCTGATTCTGGAAAATCTGCCAACACATCATAAATCCTGTGAGCAAGGCTTCTCAGTAACATCAGAAGATCAATTAAGAACAGCCTCCTGGATTCAATCTTAGTCCAGATAATGTGTTAGGTGACAGCTCAGATACTAGACATGGCAGCTACAGGGTCAGCTCTGGAGCAGCTTGGGTAACCTTTGAGGTCCTTTCTACCTTCACTCCTGGGGACTAGGAAAGCCTGGTCAATCCTTGAGCCTGCCTACTTATGTATCCAAGATTCTAGTTGTCACAGCTCTGACCTATGTATTCTCATCAATGACATATACTCATATATAACTCTGTGTGTATGTGTGCCCATGTGCTTGTGTGTGTAATGTCTACACTTCTACAGTGTGATATGTTTCCTACTCCAGAAACCCTGCTACTATGAAGGCCACATCCTGAACTCAAGAGGCTCTCTTGCCAGCATCAGTACGTGCGATGGGTTGAGGTGAGAACTGTCATACATGAGTAATTGATGCTGAGTGCCTCTTGTCACACAGCCCTGAGTCTTCCTCGTGTCTTCCACTGTCTTCCTGCCATCTGAGTCATTTTTGTTCATTGCTGCATGTGTGAAGAATAAACTATCATGGTACAGTCACTTCATTAACTCTTGTTCTGGAAGTCAGTCCCAGCTCTGTCAAAGCTACACACTGGACCCCGGTGACATCTGTGTCCATTAACAACCTGGAATCAATTGTGTCAGATTTTTTTTTAACTAACATGTCATGTGGGTAGCCTCTTATCTAGCATGAGATTAAAGCAGAAAATAAAATATGTGATTTCTAGTCTAGCATGGTTCATATTTAACATGATCTCACTTTTCCTATATTATAAAAATGCCCCATTGGACATACTTTTTATTCGTTTTTAAAATGGCTTTACAATATTTCAGTGTATGGAGTACTTTCTAATTCTGAACTAAATGTTTTAATGGAAAAACTCCAATGAACCTTTTTTGTTCTCTCTAAGGTTCTGAGTGACTAAATAATCATTTACTCCATTCTCCAGTCTACTCATAGAAACTGCCAAGAATTGTTTAATAAATGAATAAGCAGACTATTGGAAAATATTAGACTAACAGACTCATGCTGTTAAATCCAATGTCTTCGAAATTGCTTCACTTTAGTCATTTTTGAGACTACTCTGGGTAAATGACATAAGCTTCATTTTGTTCTTTTGTCACTTTGGTTGAAAATAGCCTCCTTTTCTCACATAATATATCCTGACTATGGCTTTCCCATCTCTACTCCTCTCAGTTCCTCCTCCACTCCTCCCACACAGTTCTGCCCCCTGTTGTCTCTTATTAGAAATAAATAGGCTTCTAAGGAATAATATAAAATAAAATATGGTAAAATTAAAACTAATGCATTGGAAGGATAAACCAAAACGAACAGAAGGAAAAGAGCCCAAGAAGAGACACAAGAAAAAGATACAGACACAGAGACCCTCTCATTCACACAAACAGGAATCCCATAAAAACACTAAACTGGAAGCCATAATATATATGCAAAGGGCATATAACAATCCCTGAAAAGATTCATTTGGTGACAAGAGATAGCCAGTTGGGGTTCTATCTGCCCAATTATTTGATGATTTCAGATCCCCTTATCTATGTATATATATACATTACTGTGTTAGATTTTCATACTACCCTCAAATGGTCCTCAATTTTAGCTGTCTCTTTCAGTATTTCCACCTTTGCCCTCTCTTCTCTTCCCCTGTTGAACCAGCTGTTTCAATATCTCCCATCTATTTATAACATCTATTCTATTTTCTTCTTCTAGAGAAATCTGTCTTTACCCCTATTATGATATCCCATAGCCAACCTTTGTGGTTCTATGGATTGTAGTTTAATTATCATTGACTTAACAGCTGATATCTATATATAAGCAAATATGTATCATATTTGTCTTTCAGGGACTGGGATCCCTCACTCAGGATAATTTTTTTTCTAGTTCTTTTCATTTACTTGTGAATTTTATTATGCCATTTTTTAACAACTGGGTAATTTTCTATTGTGTAAATATAGCACAGTTTTATCCATTCATCTGTAGAGGGCTATCTAGGTTGTTTTCAGTTTCTGAGTGCTGTAACTAGAACAGCAATGAACATGGTTGAGCAAGTGTCTGAGTGGTAGGATAAAGTATAGATTAGGATAGATAGGTTCTCATCTTTCTGGGGAGCTGCCACACTGATTTCCAAAGTAGCTGTACCCGTTTGCACTCCCACCGGCAAGATTAGTGTTCCCCCTACTCCTCACCACTGTGAACTTGTTTTATTGATATTATCCATTCTGAAAGGTGTAAGATGAAATCTCAAAGTAGTTGATTTGTACTTTCCTGATGGCTAAGGGTGTTGAATATGTCTATAAGTGTTTCTCAGCCATTTGATTTTCCTGTTTTGAGAAATCTCTGTTTAGCTCTGTACCCCTTTTTTTAATTAATTTTTTCTTGATATATAGAATTTTTTAGTTCCTTATATATTTTGCCTGTTAGTCCTCCATTGAATGCATATAGTTGGTAAAAAGTATTTTTCCATTCTGTAGGCTGCCACTTTGGATGAATGATTGTCCTTTGCTATGCAGAGGGTTTTCAGCTTAATGAGGTCCCATTTGTTAATTGTTGCCCTTCATTTCAATATTGGGAAAACACCGATTGTAGTTTGAATGATTAGGTGTTAGTTGTGAGGACTGTGATTGAAAATATATGTGAAAAACTGAGGTGGAAGGAGACTACCACTCCATGCTGAGTGGTCTGTTTGGATGGGTATATGTCAGGGCATCCTAAAAGACAATGTCATGTCCCACAGAGGGTTCTTCACTCATCATAATCAGAGATATCAAATAAAGCCTCTACAAAGCTCAGACGAAGGAGAACACGCCGTTATTCCAAACAGCCAGGAGAAACCAGACACAGCTAATTACAAGCAGGGTAAGAAGGACGTTGGCAGGAAACGAAGCCATCTTCGAACTTCTAGGTCACTCAAAAGCTCAAATGTAAGTATAGCTTTCTTTCATACTATGCATTTTGATTGTCTAAGCAAGGATCGAAGACAAACAGGTGTGTTCAGAAATGACTGGTCTATGCAAAGTCTCTGTTTAATTACTTCTTTGACTTGCTTTGGAGGAAAAAAATGTAAGTACTTGAATCATTGTGAGTAGAGATGCTTATTAAAGAGGTTCTCTTGTTATTTGTAACACAGGCAGACTTACTTCAAGGACAGAAGTACATTGGTCTCTTCTTGGTGCTGGACAATGCCTATGTGAGTACAAATGATGGTACCTCTTAGTTCTCAACTTATAAGTTAACTTAAAAGTCTTTTTAGTTAACAACACATTTTTGTTCAGCTATATTTCTTGGCTGCTTTGGTTTCCTTGTTAACAACAGTTTTCACACCCACCATCCATTTATTATCAACAGTCACCAAATATTTATGTAATGGCAATACACTTCATGCCAGGTACCTATGTTCTAGTTTGCTTTCTGTTATTCTGGTAAACTCCATGACCAAAATTACTTGGGGAACAAAGGGTTTATTGTGCTTTCAAGCCACAGTCCATTGTTGAGGGAAGCCAAGACAGAAACTCAAGGCAAGAACTGAAGCAGAGGCCACACAGAAACACTGCTGTTGGCTTACCTCCCCAGATTGCTCAGCTACACTTCTTATGCAGCCCATGTTCAGCTGCCTAAGGGTGCTACAGGCCATGGTGCTTAGCCCTCCCACATCAACGAAAGCCCACAGGCTAGTCTGAGGAAGACCGTTCTTCAATTGAGGTTCTTAGGTGACTCCAAACTGTTTCAAGTCAACAAAAACTGACCTATAAGCACATACCCATAAGCAATCAATCCTAAAGGTTTTAAAGAGAAGTATTTTAATAAAGTATTAGGTTGTTTTAATATTTTACCACAAACTATAAATAACAATTTAACAAGTGTTATGTAAGTAGGAACGCAAAACTATGCACAACTTACAAAAATATAAATACGGAGAAGCTACCGCTTATGTTGCTCCATAATCAAAGCTGAATTAATACTGAGTTGTTTGAAAGTGTTTAAACTACTGGTTTTATGTATTCAGCTTAAAGATGAATAGAAAAATCCAGTTCTAAGCCTGTAGTCCCAGTATGGAAATCTGAAGCAGGACAACCATAAGTTTGATGACATCCTGACTGCATAGTGAGAATCTACTTCATACCAAACGAAACCAAACAAACAACAAGAAAGATGAAAGACATTACAATTTGTTATGAATGCTCAATTCTTATCTTATAAAAAAAAACCAACCCTATATCTGAAGTAGAACTTGTTGAAATAGAGTATATATAAGTTAGTCACGGATTGATCAAAAGTTAACTGTTATGACATGTGACTTTTCTATTTAATCCTCGATCTTCTCACTTCAGTTTTCTATTTAAATTTTTTTTTTTTTGCGTTTTGTCATTTTCAGTATAAGATGTTTAAAGGGAATGTAACCCAGATGAGGAGCTTTGTGCTTGAGGTGCTGAGTCTGCTCAATGTGGTAAGACATTCGTCATGTATGTGTGTTTCCACACCTGTGCTTGGGGCTTCCTTGTGGCTTCCCCTGTATGGGGGCAAGAATCACCTAAGAATGAGAGCTCATCAAGATGAAAAGATCATAGGCAGCAACAAAGGTATCTTCTAGAATTTCTGCTTTCAAAACTGAAATTCATGATATGTTTTGCATCCCTTCATCTATCCCTTGTGGTCACCGAGAGCACTAAAACTAATCCTGTGTGTTTTCATGAAAAATGTTCTTTCCGCAGATTTATAAAACCATAGATATTCAAGTGTCTTTGGTACGCATGGAAATCTGGTCTGATGGTGATAAGATAAAGGTGGAACCCAACACTGGTGCCACATTAAAAAACTTCATGAGATGGCATTATTCTAACCTGGGAAAAAAGATCCATAACCATGCCCAGCTTCTCAGGTGAGTTCTTTCTTGCCAGGGCAGGGTCATGAGGGCAGACTAGGTGATTATCTCCAGCATTTCTTGACAAAAGAAATGAATGAATGTCTGTTCAGTCATTTCTCTCCAATAAGCTGTGAGTGGTCGGATGTTCCTATCATTAGCAATCAGCTCTTGAACTATTTGAAGGTTAAGATCAATAAAAGGTTAAAAATCAATAAAACAACTCTTGGATGCAAAATATCCACCTGTAATTGTGGGGCTGTGATATGATAGAGGCTGTTCTGGGGCACCCTGGACATATAGAAGGTTAGGGGACAACAAGGGAGGTCTATGACATCACTACCAAAAGCTCTCCGTTCCAGAGTCAGATTGCAATAGGCTCTCTCTACCTTTTACACAGTGGAATTGGCTTCCTTGGTGGACGTGTAGGAATGGCAGCTGCAAGCTCCTTGTGTACTACGTCTTCAGTGTCGGTTATTGAGGTTTGTACGTTTCTACTAAGACACCCTGCAATTCCTTCTCCACGGAGACGAGCATCGTGGTACTGTACCGAAGTAGCCACCATCAGCTGAACTGAGAAATCAAAATAGAAATAAGACCATTATTGGACTATGAAATATTAGCCCTGCCAAAGGCCTCACATTTCATTTTCTATTAGAGAATAAAGAGACCATGTGTTGAGGCAGAAAGGGGAGCCAGGTTCTTCCTATGGCCTCCGAGAATTCTAAATGAATTGTGTGGGATAGCTGTGCAGAGGTCAGACAAGGAAACAAAGAAGTGCGTTCAGCCATCAATGTTCATTGCTACTCATGGCATAAGAATTATAACCACAGTTGTGTGAATGTGAGTTCCTACCATGGCACCTAATAGCACTTTACATAGAAAATGCAATTAGTCCAGCTCTGCTGAGAATTCAGGGTCTAGAAGCTCAGTATTCATTGACTGAGCATGAGCTATGACCAAATGCTTATATTTATAGGAACCAAACCCAGAAGGTACAATAGGCCAAAGCAATGCCAGAAAAAAATGAGTCTAAAGACACACTATCCTTCCTCTCTATTTTGAAATGTCTATTCATCTTGGACATTTCACCTTGACAGGAACTGAGAAATAACCGAATAAAATCAGAAGTAACAGATGCTTCTATTTTTTTTCCAGGCTAAAAGAAAGAATGCTGTGTCTCTCGTAGCAATAATGTCACATGAGTTGGGTCACGCCCTAGGCATGCAGGATGTTCCATACTATACCAAGTGTCCGTCTGGCAGCTGTGTGATGAATCAGTACCTGAGGTAAGACGGTATTATCCCAAAGTAAAAAAAAAAAAAAAAAATCCCCAATTCCCAAGTACTTTAAATGTACTGTGCAGATGTGGGGTATTCTAAAGGTATTCTAATAATTCAACCTCCAGCTGCTTTGTGCATGTATTTTACCAAATTCAAGGCTCGTTCATTAAGATTTTAAATACCCCACCATAGAGTAACTCTGTGGTGACCCTATCATTTTGACTTATGGTTGTTCTAATTTAAGGTGGCACTATGTTTTCCTAAAAACTAGATTGTTTAAAATGATAGTTTTGTTTCAAGCTTACCCAAGAGAAACATGTTTTGATCCCCAGCATCAACCAAGCCTTCTATTTTAGCATAGTCATTATAATTATCTGATAATGCCAGTTAATTTACCAAGACTTGGGATATAAAATGGATGTGGTATCTTTTGTTCTTGAGGCGCTCACAAGTAAAGACGTTTGCCCGAGGATGACAGGAATCTTCATTTACTTCCTCTAACTAGATCATGAGTGTCAGCTCCTACTGCCCCTCCCTCGGTGTGGGATGAATAGATGGTAACAGTGGTAACACTAGTCTCTCTTGTTGCTTTGGATAGTCTTGAACTCCTGTGACGATCAGCTCCAATTGCTAACTTGTCACAGTATAGAATCATCTGGGAAGAGATTCTCAATAAAGTATTGTCTGCATTCTGGTTCTTATTGGGGATTGTCTTTGAAAGTTCATTGACATGGGAATACCCTACTGTCTTTGGGTGGCCCTTCTCCCAAAGGGTCATGAACTACAAAAGAGTAGGGAAATAAAGAACAACAAGCAAACAAGTGAGCATGCATGGATTTATTTCTCTTTGATCTTCACTGGATATGATATGACTAGCTATTTTGACTTCCCTTTCTCTCCTAAGGTTTTTGGTTTTGTGATTTTTTTTTTTTTTATGGTCAGGACATTCTATTACAGAAACGGAACTAGAATATTTGAACTCTTTCTTCTTTGCTTCCGGATTGTTAGGAGAAAGCATTCAATTAGAATATTAAATATGCTTCATCACCTACCCTAGATAGCATGGAGACGTCCTGGACATTGACTGATTTGAAGTTTCCATTGAATTGGATCCCACAGTGAGATGCAAAAGTTTCTTCTGTTTACATCTTACCCACAAGCTTCTATACTGTCTATCATGCTATTCTGTGTTTTCTGTTACAGTTCGAAATTCCCGAAGGACTTCAGTACCGCGAGCCACTCACGTTTTCAAAGATTCCTTTCATCTAGAAATACAAGTTGTCTGCAGCTGGCACCTAATCCTAAAAATATAATAAAGCCAACATGCGGGAACCAAGTTCTGGAAACGGGAGAAGACTGTGACTGTGGCTCTCCTGAGGTATGAAAATACGTGAGGTTTAAAGTTGTATTTACTAAGATTTAAAACAGAACTGTTGAGGTGAAAATTATACACTCTGATTTTCCATTTCCTTCTTTAAAGATTTTATCTTGCATTTTATTTGTGTGTGTGTGTGTGTGTGTGTGTGTGTGTGCACATAAGTGTTTTTGTGTTGATACCCTTGGAGACCAGGAGATTTCTTGGAACTGGATAGACAGGTGATTTTGAACTGGCAAACATAAGTGCTGAGATCTAAGCCTTCATCCTCAAGATTGTGAAGCATGCACTCTTAGCTCCTGAGCCACCTCTATAGGACCCTCTCCTTTCTCAGTGCTCCTTTAGAAAATTCATTCTGGTATTTATAAGTAGAGGACCTAGGTCTAGACCATGCATTGTACTTGGCTGCTGCTCCAGACTCCATAGGCCCCTCTGGGCCCTGTCTGATTGGCTCTAATGATCCTTGTTCCCATTCTTCCACCATTACCTCTGTCTATTTTATCTCCCCTTCTTATTGAGATTTCAGCATCCTCTCTAGGGTCCTCCTACTTATCTTCATGGGGTCTATACATTGTAGTATGTCTAGCCTCTACTAGATGACTAAAATACACTTTCCTTTTAAGTGAGTACATACCATGTGTATCTTTCTAGATCTGTGTTACCTCACTCAGGATGATATTTTCTATTTCCATCCATTTGCCTTCAAATTTCATGATTTATTTTTTGCCTAATGGGCATCTGAGGCTTCAGGTGGACCCAATGATCAGAGGAGTATCTCTGACATGGACTATGTTATCTGCTTTTTGATCGCTTTCCCCTGAAGGGACTGCACTCCCAGGCCACAGGGGAGGAAGACAAACTCAGTCCTCCTGTGAATAGATGAGCTGGGGTATCTGGGTAGGGGGAGCTTCCTTATTCTGAAAAAATGGGGGAGGGAGAATAAGTGAGGGTAGGTGGGTCTGAAAGGAGAGGAGGGAGGGACCTATGACCAAGATGTAAATTGAATTAGTTAATTAAAAAAAAATTATACGGGAGACAAATGATATCATATTAGTGTGCAACATATTTATTAGTGTTTTGCTTTTGATTTAAGTTAACCATCCTATGAAAAACACTTTAAAAAAAACAGAATCTGTTTATGACATGATCGTATAAAGCCAAATGTAAAGAAGTGAGCCATTACCCATAGCATGCCACATTCCTTATAGACACTGGATTCAGAAATTTCTAAGATTCAGGCCATGTTTAAGCATGTGTTAGACAGTCAATCACAGATCTAAATGGAAGGCTTCCTCATGGGTATTTTCTTTTTTCACAAAATCAGCATGTGAAGTCATCAGCTGAAAACACAAAAGAGGAAATTTAAAAAGCAGTCTCAGAAAAAACCTTTGTGCCCAGATTTTTTCTTTTTCAATTAAATTTATTGTTTTATATTAATTACAGTTTATTTACTTTGTATCCCAGCTGTAGCCCCTCCCTCATTCCCTCCCAATCCCACCCTCCCTATCTCATCTCCTCCTTGTCCCTCTCTAAGTCCACTGATGGGGTGGTCCTCCTCCACTTCCATCTGGTCTCATCAGGACTGGTTGTAATGTCCTCCTCTGTGGCCTAGCAAGGCTGCTCCTCCCTGGCGGGGGGAGGTCAAAGAGACAGCCACTGAGTTCCCTTGTTCCCCTTACTAAGGAAACCCACTTGGATACTGAGCTGCCATGGGCTACGTCTGAACAGGGGTTCTAGGTTATATCCATGTATGGTCCTTGGTTGGAGAATCAGTCTCAGAAAAGACCCCTCTGCTCAGTTATATTTGGTCCTTGTGGAGCTCCTGTACTCTCCAGATCTCACTAACTCCCCGTTCTCTCATATGATTTCCTGCACTCTGCCCAAGTTTTGGTTATGAGTCTCAGTCCAGATTTTTTGGTTCTGTTGCTCACTTGTGAAGCGCCTATCCCCTCCAGGTCTTTTATCTCCCCCTTCTTTCATAAGATTCCCTGCACTCTGCCCAAAGTTTGGCTGTGAGTCTCTGCATCTGTTTCAATACCCTGTTGGGTAGAGTCTTTTAGAGGTCCTCTGTTATAGGCTTCTGTTTGTTCTCTGTTTTCTTCCTCTTCCGATGTCTGTCCCATTTGTCTTTCTGAGTGAGGATTGAGCATCTTACTCAGGGTTTACCTTCTTGCTTTGCTTTTTTAGGTGTACAGATTTTAGAATGTTTATCCTTTATTATATGTCTAATATCCACTTATAAGTGAGTATGTACCATGTGTGTCTTTCTCATTCTGGGATACCTCACTCAGGATGATCTTTACTCCAACCAAGGACCATGCATGGCCAACCTCTGCAGATATTTAGCCCATGGCAGCTCAGGGTCCAAGTGGGTTCCCTAGTAAGGGGAACAGGGGCTGTCTCTGACATGAGCTCAGTGGCTGGGTCTTTGATCACCTCCCCCTGAGGGGGAAGTAGCCTTACCAGGCCACAGAGAAAGACAATGCAGCCAACCCTGATGAGACCTGATAATCTAAGATCAGATAGAAGGGAAGGAGGACTTCCCCTAGCAGTGGACTGGGGGAGGGGCATGGGAGGAGAAGAAGGAGGAAAGGTAGGATTGGGAAAGGATGAGGGAGGGAGCTATAGCTGGGATACAAAGTGAATTGTAATTAATAAAAATAAATAAATTTAAAAAAACAAACAAACAAAAACTGCATGAACCTATAGCCTCTAGGCTCCTCACAGCGACACATCTAAAACAGTAGTTTTCAACATGTGGGTCATGACCCCTTTGGAGTTGAATGAACCTTTCACAGGGGTCACCTAAGACCATTGGAAAGCACAGATATTTATATTACAATTCATAACAATAGCAAATTACAGTTGTGAAGTAGCAACAAAAATAATATTTTGGTTATGAATCATTACAACCTGAGGAACTATAATAAAGGGTCTCACGACTAGGAAGATTGAGACCTCTGCTCTAGGTTGACAGTTACTGTGACTTTGCTAATGTTTATATAATTTCAAGGCATCCTCTGCATCAGTGAATGCCTCAGACCGACATCCACAAACGGTTTCCTGTTTATTTCTTCCTTTATCTGAGACAGGATTTTAGGTTGTAGTCCAGGATGGCCTCCAGAGCATGATCCTCAGGTCTCAGCCTCATGTGTGCTAGAATTTCAGGCACCTCCCATCATGAGTAGCTCATATGAGACTTGTAAGAGAATTCTACTTTGTGATCTTCTGTTACTTTTAGGATCTAAAAAGATTCCCATATTAGAAAAGACTTAAATGAGGCAATTTGCAAACTGCTCCACAGAGAACAGCCTCTTACTTGTTGTGAAAAACAAACCCACAACATAGAGATTGGCACTATTCTTAAAAGCTCATAAATGCCAAAGAAGTTCAGGGACCATAGCATGGGAACTTAGCTCTTACTTTTGAAAGCTCTCTGACAGCATAGATAACATCTTAGGTTTCTGTGTCTCAGTGCATTCTTTCGGAAGTTCAAGTTATAGATCAAATTCCTAACTTAGTTTTGTCAGAATTGATTGCTATCTAAGATTTTCTTTTTAATATAGGTTATAATTCATTGATTTACCTTTGATGTCACTTTATTATTACCTTTTCCAATTATCTAGGTGATTTATCAAATATTTTTAAGAGCTGACCTCAATTTTTTCCATGTACATAGGGAATTATATCCAACACACAATGAAAATACATTTATAATTTGTGGCTATATGTTCATATATCTTTTATGTCTCATGTATTTATTAAATTTCCCATAAAATACACATTATGAATAATCTTTGCTCTACCTTCATTTTATTAGATCTGGTTTTGGCTATTTGTTATCTGTATTTATGAAACATAATGAGCTATCTCTTATCTGCAGTGGAAATTTGTGGGAAAGCATGTTTTAATGCCTCAATTTTGGCTTCCAAACTTATCCGTTAATTTTGCTACTTACCAAAATGTCAGAAGCTGTTTTCTCCCTTAAATTCTTTAATTTGATGGATTGCACTTCTTTTATTAGTATGATTAGGCAACTCTTACATTTTGGACTAAGAAAACTCACATAGTTGGAATACAGTTATTATATTGATAATCTGGAGTTTAATCCAATGCATGTTTGTCCTGTGTGTGCTTTTTTGTGTGCGTGCATGCACGTGTGTGTGTGTGTGTGTGTGTGTGTGTGTGTGTGTGTGATCATTATACATCTCAGTAACACTATCATTCAGGCATGGTAAGAGCAAATTTTAATTTTTTCTCTATTTCCACATCATTTGAATAGTAAAGAAATGTCCATTCTTTAAAATTTCAACAGATTTAACTGCAATATCTTCTGAGCAAAATTTGAGGAAACTCTTTGTGATCCCGCCCCCTTTGATCTTTGAAGACAGTGTTCATTGAGGATAGCATTTCTTCCCAGTATTGACTATCCCCGGTTATCATCATTAGCAGTGTACAGCAGAGCAAATGGGCTAAAAGGGGGGGCATTTCCCTGATGAGGTCTGAGAGCCGCAATCCATGTGTATAGCAATGTGAATGCAGAGGGCAGTGTGATTATGTCCAATTAGCAGGAAATGGTTATGGTTTTAACCCTGGATGCTGCAAGTTCCTCGGCCTTGGATTTCTGTCCAGATTTCTTTTTTATTATATTATTATTATTTATCACAATTTATTCTATTTGTATCCCTTCTGTGGCCCCTTCCTCATCTCCTCCCAATCCTACTCTCCCCTCCTCTTCCCCCCCATGCTCCTCCCCTAGTCCACATATAGAGGAGGTCCTCCTCCCCTTCTATTGGATCCTAGTCTATCAGTTCCCATCAAGGCTGGTTGCATTGTCTTCCTCTGTGGCCTGGCAAGGCTGCACCCCCCACTGAGAGGTGATTAGAGAGCCTGCTACTGAGTTCATGCCAGAGAAAGTCCCTGCTCCCTTTCTTAGGGACCCCACTTGGAGACTGAGTCTATGGGCTACATCTGAGCTGGAGTTTTAGGTCCTGTCCATGCATTGTCCTTGGTTGGGGAATCATTCTCTTCAGGGCCAAGGGCTCAGTTTTTATGTCTCTGTTGGCCTCCTTTTAGAGGTCCTGTCCCCTCCAGGTCTTTCTATCTCCCCCTTTTTTCATAATATTCCCTGCACTCTGCCCAAAGTTTGGCTATGAGTCTCAACCTTTGCTTTGATACCTTGATCAGTAGAGCCTTTCAGAGGCCGTCTGTGGTAGGTTCCTGTCATGTTCCCTGTCTTCTCCTGCTTCTAATGTCTATTGTGTTTGCCCTTGTGAATGAGGATTGAGCATCTTCTTTAGGGTCTTCCTAGAGAAGATGCTGTTTAGCTTCTTTAAGAGTATAAATTTGGGGAGGGACATGTGTGGAAAAGGGGGAGGAAGGGAGGGATTAGGAGGGGAGAAGGGAGGGAACTAGAGGGGGGATACAAAGTAAATAAAGTGTAATTAAAAATAAAATTAAATTAAAATTAAAAAAAAAGAGTATAAATTTTAGTATGTTTATCTTATGTTATATGGCTAATATCCACTTATAAGCGCTATGTCTTTCTGCTTCTGGGATACCTCACTCAATATAATCTTTTCTAGTTTCCATCATTTGCCTGCAATTTTCATGATTTCCTTGTTTTAAATAGCTGAGTAATATTCCACTGTGCAAATGTACCACAATTTCTGTGTCCATTCCTCTGTTGAGTGACATCTAGGTTGTTTCTAGATTCCGGCTGTTATGAATAGAGCTGCTACAAACATGGTTGGGCAAATGTCCTTGTTGCATACTTGAGCCTATTTTGGATATATGCTTAGGAGTGGTATAGCTGGATCTTGAGGTAGCACTATTCCTAATTTTCTGAGCAAGCACCAGACTGTCGTCAGAACAAAACAACAGCCTATATGTTGGGAAAGGATCTTTTCCAACCCTATATCTGACAGAAGGCTAATATCCAGAATATATGAAGAACTGAAGAAGTTAAACAGCAACAAACCAAGCAATCCAATTAAAAATAGGGTACAGAGCTCAACAAGAGAATTCTCAATAGAGGAATATTGAATGGCAGTGAAACACTTAAAGAAGTGTTCAATGTCCCTAGTCATTAGAGAGATACAAATCAAAACAACCCTGAGATTTCACCTTATACCTGTCAGAATGGCTAATATCAAAAACTCAAGTGACAACACCTGCTGGAGAGGATGTGGAGAAAGGGGAACCCTCCTCCATTGCTGGTGGGAATGTAACCTTGTACAACCACTTTGGAAATCAATCTGGCCAAATTTCCCGTGCACAGGCATGAGTTTCTTTCTGTGTCCAATTAGAAAGCAGTTAGCTAACCCCATAACATTTGATTGCATGGCGGTGGATGGCCCCACATTTAGGTATCTATGGGTTAATGAAAGTCAGTGAAAACCAGGCATGGTGGCAATACTCAGGAGGCAAAGAGAGGCAGATCTGTGAGTTCAAGGCCAGCCAAGTGTACAAAGGAAATTCTAAATCAGGCAGGGCTACATGGAGAGACCCTGTCTCAAAACAAACAAACAAAATAAAAGAACAACAAAACAAGACAAAAAACCCACAAAGTTAAAAGGGATGGAGAGAAGCAGGGTTGATCTGGGAGGAACTAGGGAGAACAGTAGGACTGAATATGAACAAAATAAATTATATGAAATTCCCATATAATTAATATTATATTTTAAAAAGTGACATTTCCTTTCATGGGTGTCGTGTACTAAACGCCGGGATTGTTCTGTTTGTTCTTTGAAGGAGTGTACTGATCTCTGCTGTGAGCCTCTGACTTGTCAGCTGAAATCCCAGCCTGATTGCAGAGAAGAAGCATCCAACCACATCACGTGAGCGCCGTCTTCTCTGTGTTTCCCGAATGAGGCAACATCTTTTTATTTTTCTTTGAGATGTGAAAAGGTGTCCCACTGGGTTCAACAATGCACTAAAAACAAAGTTCATTTACACTTTCAAATGACTTAATTTTGTAGTGAAGAAAGAATGTGTTTATACACAAAATCAAGGCTGTGTGGTTGATCATACACATATAAAAAATGGGTTACTCTGACATTTACAAGACTAAGGGGCCTAGAACTTGTACTAAAATTGGTTTTAATTTCCTATAATTAACAAGTTAATATGAAAAGAACTAAAGTATATTTTTGACAAGCCTTGATTGATCAGCACAATTCATTCCCCTTAGAGATGTTAGTTATCATTTCTAAGGTAGTCAGGAAATCAATAGCACTTAAAAACTCAATGTAAAATTTGACAGTTTTATTCCCTTTAAAGTGTCTCAGTGGAATACAATCCAGGTGTTGTTTTGGGGTGCTTTATAGGCAAGTGTAATTTGAGGTAGGGAAACCAGTGGCTTGGCATTTGAGATTAAGTTTTTGTTTGAGTGTAAAATAGTCTCTGTATATAAAGTCTATAACGGCAACAGATGTCAGAAAGCTGGGATTCAGGAGACATGCCTTATTCTGTGCTCCTTTCTCAGACATTTCCTGGAATTAAAACTGCAACAAGAGTGAAATAAAATGGTCAACCCCAACACTATTCAGTATCAGTTCCTCAGGAAAGGAGCAAGGTCAAAGAAGAGTCAAGATTCCTTATCTATTTACTAAGTAGTGTTGAATATTTTAGTGAATTATGATGTGGGTTCATTGGTAGAGATTACTGGAAATCATGCCCAGACACGAAGCAGAGTTTTAAAAGTAAAAAGCAGAACAAAAAAAAACTTAGTTCCTTAGAGGGCTGGAATGATAGGTAACTATACCCTTTTCTGTGTAAAATGGGTAGTCCAAGATCAATGGAATAACATTGAGTTTGGACATTTAAATTCTAGTCTTAGTTCTGGAAAAACACTGTGGGGTTTAAGACAAGTTACTGAATTAATTCCCTTCCTTCTTGTTCCATGGAACTTATGTGTTCTCTTGGTTGCTAGCGCTTTTGAAAGTCTGTAAATTTCCATTTGTGTCAGCACATAATATTTTATCAGTATAATAATTATTGCTTTTGATTTTATGTCTTTCTTTAATTAGAAAATGATCCAGTGTCTACTTCACCGAGGAGCTACTTTGCCAGGACAAGAACCTGACTACCCCAGGGAACTTCCTAGTTTCACTTTGTGCTTCTGTATAGACAGGCCTCTGTATGCCGTGTTCTGTGTGCATCTCACAGATTCAATGACTAAACAAGAAGATCCTGAAATATGCTTGTATCTGTAGTGATTATGTAGACAGTAGACATTTTCTTCTCGTTATTCCCTACATAATACAGTATAACAACTATTTGCATAGCACTTTTGTTGTTTCAGTGTTAGAAGTAGTCTAGAGATGACAAAATATTTAGAAAAATTTCAGTGGCTGTTTGTAAATATACTCCAGTTCTTAAAAAGGACCTCCAGAGATTTTATATGTGTGGTCCTGGAGCCAGTCCCTAGTGGACACAGAAGCAAGACCTTTGCTTTTCTCTTTCCATTCTGCTTTCTGTGTTTCTACCAGCCCAACCAACAGGTCAATAGCTGCACTTAGCAATGCTGTCTATACGTTCATGTCTTATCTGCAGTGTGAATAGGAGAACCCTGAAAGTGTTTCGATCTTCGGAGAACAAAAGAAATGAACCTTTGCTGAAATACTCCACACACTCCATTGAATTATTAAATTAACATCAAATCGCAAACTGAAAAGTGATTTAGCTCTAAATCTCTTTGCTAGTGAACAGTGGGGAGAAAAAATGCCACCTACTGAGGGAGGGTGGTAGCAGAAAAGAGAGCAGAGTCACAGGCCCTGGCTGTCCCTCAACACCCATTTTGTCTAACATCCTATATGGGCCCATGCTTTTCTGTCTTGTGGGGATATTGGTTACATTCAAACACTTTCTATGAGAGCGAAGATGATTGCTCACACATTTATCTATTGTGAGAGGTCTGTGTTGTTTGCCTCTTAGAGGAAATGGAAAGGTAAGGCTTCATTCATTGGTTGATGTAATAAATCATGCTACTAACAAAACAATGAATTCTGTGCGGTCATTTTTTTAAAAAGATTTATTTATTTATTATGTATACAATGTTCTGTCTGCATGTACACCTTCACATGGGAAGAGGGCACCAGATCTCATTATAGATGGTTGTGAGCCACCATGTGGTTGCTGGGAATTGAACTCAGGACCTCTGGAAGAGCAGACAGTGCTCTTAACCTCAGAGCCAGCTCTCCAGTCCCCCTGTGTGGTCATTTTTAAAAGGAATATTTTCAAACTTATTCATGAGTCAAGATCCTGGTTATTGTTTACTTTAAAAATAATCTGCCTCAGATAGTTACGCTTTATATAGATGTGGGCAGCAGGGGAGGGGGCAAAGAAGGAAGCTCCTTACAAATTCAAAGCCAAGAGAGGGTATTTTCACAAAAGGGCCCCAAACGGTTTTAAAATCTAAGTTCTAAGAAGTTGCTGGACTAGAATGTACTGCTGAGTAAATTTTATCATGAAAAGCTCCACTTTTCTGTTGTGTATTTTCAAGACTGCATTTTACTTTTCTCCCTTCCCTTCCCGCCCCCAAACCTTCCCATATACTTCTCCCCACTCTTCTTCAAATTTGTGGTGTCCTTTTTTTAATCAATCATTATTGCATGCATTTAAGTATTTGTATATGCACATACATTAGTAAATACAGCCTGTTGAATCCATATTACGTCTCTTGTGCGTACGTTTTCAGGGCTGACTGTTTGGGACTGCCCAAGCAATGGATGTGGTCTTTCCTAAGCAGGCCCACCTCTCCCGCCCCCAGCTTTACTCTCCTGCCTATATTTGTTTGTGTAGAGTTGAGGCCTCTTGGCCTTTTCCTCATCTGCTGTTACAGAAAATGAACTTAGCTATTTGGACAGTAATGAGACAGCACAAAATTGACATGTCGCACCACCAACAATGTAATATTTTCTATGAAATTGCATAGGACAGGTAGTCATAGCTAGGGTCATAAAACTGTTCAGAGAATCATTGCAGAGTATGAGAAGTAAGTGCTGATTTTGTTAGTCTCTGAGTGGGTGACATGTTCCAAGACTAAATTTCTGCAGGGTCTGCTTTTGGTGCTTACCAATGTGCATGCAATTTCATTCTATGTGCCGTACTTTTAAGAAATTTCTTTTGGTGCACACAATTCTATTTCCACCACCACCTCCCACCCCCCCGCAGCACAAAACACTATCATGCCTCTGTAAAATCCATACATGTTTCAGAGTACTTTCATATTTTTGTCTAGTTTGGTACTTAATTAAATGAATAAGTTATGCCAGGAAATATTTTATGGGGGAGAATCTGTGCTCAAAAAGTCTAAGTGACTTGTCTAAGGTCTCATTGAAAACCTAAAGTAAGTATAAAGTGCGTGTTCATGCTCTAAACCTTAAACCTAGAATGTCCACTGTCTGATTTCTTTTTGATGGAATTCTCGCTAGAGATGGACGGCCCATCCTATAGCCTTTGGAAAGCAGTTAATGATTGGTGCTGACAATGTGTGGTGATTTCTAAGAGCACCAGATAGGACTAGAAACTGCCCAGGAGCTCAAAGCACAAATGTCCACAGATAATGTCAAACATTCACACACACACACACACACACACACACACACACACACACACACTCACTCACATGTACACACATTCTGAACTTACATCTCCCCACCCCCACTGGGCACTCATGCCTTCCACAGGTGGCCACAGAGCTGATAACCACAAACTATAACGGGCAGGTCTTCATTTTGTAGTAGTACTTATTTCTAGCTATGATTAGGTGTTCAGTTAAGTGTTTGTTTTCCTGGAGTAGCTCTTTGCATAGATTTTCTTAGAGAAGCAGTCGTTATGATGTGTTCGTAAGAAGGGATTTCTCCATGAACTGACACAGTTGGACAGCAGAAAGTAAGTGAGCCCAGCCCAGAAAACACAAAATGATGGGTTTGTTGTTGTTGTTATTTTGTTTTTGTTTTGTTTGGGATGTTCATTTGTTTTGTTCTAAGCCTGGAGAGTGAAAGGAAAGGGTCAAATATTGCACATGGAGTTAAAAAGAGTAGATCAGAGGAACTGAACATCTGGGCTATGGTTCGGAGAGCAGATCACTTCCTGTGGGGAAACATGACCAGAATTCCTCCTCAAAATATTAGGCTTTTGCATTTTTTCCCTGCCCAAACCAGACAACCAGATGCAAGAAAATCTGCTGAGCCATGTAAGGGGGATTTCCAGTTCGTGCGACTTCCCGATTCCCTTATCAGAGTAAGCACAGTCCAAGTAACACTGCTGTCTACTCTGAGAATTAAAATTAGTCTAACCAGGGACTGACCGCATTTGTTCACTTTCTTCTCCCGGTTCTCACTCAAGGGGAAAGCAACTCAGTACGTTGTACATATTCCTCCAGCCTCAGCCTAAAGCCAAACAATTCAGGATTAGAGCATCACAAGTTCAAAACCACCCTGGGCTACCCACAAAGTTCCAGGATACTCCAAACAACATTCCAAAGAGCAATCAATCCTGGGTGAGGATGGATGGGTAGAGAGGGGTGGGGTCAATTTGCAGCTAGCAATTAAGACACTTGCTGCTCCTGCAGGGAACCCAGATTAGGCACTCTCGTAGTGGCTCCCAACTGGCCATTAAGGCCAGCCCCAAGAGGTCTTATGCCCTCTTACGGCCCTCTTATGGGCAGGAAAGCAGATAACGTACATGGAATGTATGTAATGGAACACATACATACAGGCCAGCGAGATACACATAAAATAAAAATAAAAAAATCTCTTCTATTTTTCAAGTGGGAAGGAGGGAGCAGCTTTTTTTTCTTTGCCTTTCTTTTTTCTTTGCCTTTCTTCTCTTCTGTAGACAGGGTCTTTGATCATGGCGTGGCCTCCCACCCACCTGTGAACTTACTGCCAACTGAACGTTTGTTGACTAGTGTTCTAGACACAAGTCCTCTGCCTTGAAAGCAGACCCCCAGCATTTCAGACAAATCAGGCACATGCCCATAAGAGATTTCCCCCCGGGCTGAGACTTGCCTTTATACTATCTTCATGCCATCTTTCCAAGGTTTGGAGATTTTTACATTAATGAAATCTGAAGGGTCGTTTCCCCCTTGTATGTGTGTTTTCCCTGAACCAGAGCAGCTTTGCTCCCCCTCACTGCCAAGACTTGTCGTTGCTCTTTCTCTCAGAAATCACATTCCTTTCATTTTAGGCTGAAGTCTGTGACACATCTCAAATAAATGTCCACGTGCGGTGACAGTTAAAGGCCAGTGTTCATTGTTTCCACACACGCAGCCAGATTTCTAGGACTGCTGTTGAAAGATTAAGTAGCCCCGTTTCTCTTGGTGTATGGTCAAAATGTGTGTAAGAATCCCTTTCTGGCCCATCTTTTCTCATCTGTTCGTTCATGCGTCTATCTCATGACCTTATTGGTTCTTCTCATCTGTTCGTTATGCGTCTATCTCATGTCCTTATTGGTTCTTCCAGTTGCTCTGATGACTAGTCAAGTTACTTGGACACCCTGACATCTGAAAGAATCTCTTGGCTGTGCAGCCATGCTTAACCTTTCCCTCCTGATCCAAGCAAAGGACCCTGTCAGTATCCTGATGCCCTGCCTTTGCCAGCTCCTGTTATGCAGTGACTATCTGGGTCTTCAGAACATCCTCCTACCAGCAAAAGATTGTCATGAACATCACCCCACCCCCATCCCCGCACTTCATCTTCCAAATGTTGCTCAGGCTTCAATTTCGTCTCACCATTTCAATGTACAGAATGGATCTTTCAGCTTTTTAACCTGGGGAGGAGGTGGGTTTTTGTTGGGATAACTCACATTTATTACTAGTAGAAAACTGATTTTTTTTTTTTTGTTTCTTAACCTATTGTTTACTTGCTAATTGGGATTAACCACTGTTTTCATTGGATAAACTGAGGTATAGAATAAATAACAAGTATGTATGGGATATATACTAGGGTACTTTTCCTGGCCCAGATATTTGTAGACAGTAGATATAGAGCTGCTGTTCCATCAAAGAAGATTCACCAGTTTTCCCAGCACTAAACATCATACCCAGGTGTCTGTGCGTGGCAGCTAGGCATTCTACCTACAGCAATATCCACGTGTTAGTGGTGTGGCTGGCTGTATGTTGAAGGGGACTTTCTCTTTTGAATTAAGAAGCACATGCCATGCTTCTCTTTTGTTAGGCAATTGTGACATCTGCTGTCAGAAGTGAAGAACTTAACATCTAGTCAAAAGTGGGCTATTCTTAATGAAAAGGCAGATGTGTTGGGAACTTCTAAAGAAAGGTGAAGCAGGTAACAGTCAGTTTCCCCCTCCTTGCTGAAAGTCCAGTTTTAAGCAAGTAGACTTTTGGGTTCAAATTTTGTGGGCAGCACTAGGCCTATCTTTTTCCTGGCTCTTGATGTTTTTCTCAGAGTGAGTGGTGAGCAATTTAGTGACCACTAGGTGCACAAATATTTGCAGCTCTTCACTCACTTTAGGGGGTTTAGAAAGCATTGTCTCTTCCTTCCTAGCTTCTTTGGTGGTTTTGCAGACATGGATAGATGATAGATAGATAGATAGATAGATAGATAGATAGATAGACAGACAGATAGATAGAAGAGACAGAGAGATAGACAGATAGATGATACACAGATACAGACAGAAAAAAATGATAGTTAGAAATGAAGGATAGGTATAGATAATAGATAAAGGTAGATGGTAGACAAGCTAGATAAAAATAGACAAATAGATTATAGAAACAGTTGGTAGTCATATATATATGATAGAGATGCTTGATAAGTGACAGAAGGGAAAGAGGGTGTAAACCTCTTTAGACTTAGGCTGGTTAGGGTCTTTTGGGAGTTCTTTGGGAAAATAACAATCTTTGCCACCAGGATGTCTAGCAGTACAGCAACAGCAAATGGCAAATGCAGCAGGACGAACCAGCAGCATTTTTCCTCCTCTATGTGTCTCCTTGAAGCCCCTTCCTCTCTCTGGGCTCTGCTACTTATACTCTCCCTGAGT